AGGAGCCACATTAACAATTAACTGACACCAAGACACAGACTGAGGGGAAGGACTTGACTATTTATTCACGTGAGGTGATCAGGGAAGTGGAACTAGCTGGTGACACAAGTGAAAGCAATTACACAGGTGAAGACAGTCAGTCAAAATCAGACAGGGGAGAAAGCACTACTGAAACAAGAGGCTAGCAAATAACCAATAAAATAAAACAGGAAATGAGTCTAAAATAAATAAAGAAATCTTTCTGGCATTGCACAGATGACATCCTTTATATGCAATACATTGCATCACATGTATTACTACTGTAATATGCAGAGGAACTGGCATCATTCCTAATTCAATCTTCAACTAAACTCTCCCCAGGAGTTCTAAAATCTTTTAAAGTGAAGTAATTCTGTGGTTGACATCATTTCAGTTGGTACCTATTCTCTCTACAGAGGGACAGGGAAGTGACTAATTCCTTGTTTCTCCTGTTCACACACAAAGGCTGTGCAGTGTGCATATACATCTATAAGCATTATCCATGTAAACCTTGAGCTGCAGTCTTCCCAGCTGTAGGGCTTCTCTCAGATGTTGGAATTACAGAAATGTAGAAGCACAGCAAGGGATTAGTGGAAATGAAACCACATGGGATTTCTTGTATAAGTATACACAGTGAGGAGTTTTTCAGTGCTGCTTGAAATATCGGTTTTTTTTTGTCTTTTGCAGTGTTCTTGAAGAAATATTTTCTTGTCTCAGGTTGGAGGAATGGTTTAAAATGAGCAGACTGGATGTCTATCTGTCTGTATTTGAAAGATCCAGCTGACGCATCAATCATGGCTACATCTAGTGTCGAGTCATATAACCGGGCTGGACTCCAGCTTCACGTGTTTGCCTGGCTATCTAGCTAATATTAAAAGGCTGTCTGCTAGGCATGTTTTTTGAATGTGCAAAAATGTCAGGGTATTGATGAATGTCTGAACGTTGTTGTTGCAAGAAGAACAGCAGAAAAGGTTGTTGATGGGTTTGTCTATTGAATTATTTACTAAACACTGTGTCCAGTGCCTTTTCACAGCTTTCTAAACTTACAGCAGTTAGTTTCAAGAATTTGGCTGCAAATTCTTCATTAACAAAAGACATCAGCTGTTTTTTGGTGTATCGAGCTGTGGAAGTAGTGGCTCCTAAAAAAGCTACAAAGCTGTGGTGCAAAAAAGGTATTTTTTTTCTCATGGAAGTCTTCTTTACCTTACAATATAAAAGGAACATGAAACATTTTTTGTGATGATTTGGCACTATATAAGTAAAATTGAGTATCATGTTGTATTGACTGAAAGGAAGTTACTGTGTCTAGACTTGGAGATGATAAACTCACTGTTTATTTTATCTCCCTTTTAGCCGTTTTCCATATATCATATTTCTTGAGTACCTGCTGTGGATTTTCAGGAGATCTGAAGCACTATTTCCAAAGGATGGGGCATTTCACAAAACAGAAAAAGCACAGGATTTGAAATTAAACCTTCACTTGAAGTGTTTGTCAGGGGGATTTTGATTGCACTACTACCCAAAGAATAATGAATACGTATACACTGAAAAGCGCACTGGGCACCAAATAGTCACATAGATCCAGCTGCATGTGTGTCATTGTATAATGGATCATCAGTAGAGGAAAGACAGGATATTTGCATGAAACCATTGTACCACCTGCATAGTACTGAATTCACAAGTATGCCTATGGGGGAAGAAAAAGGTGTATTTAAAGTGCAAGGACATCTCTATCCAAATGCTGGGTGACATTCACAAGATTTGCAGCCATAATGTTGTGTGGAACCAGCAGTTTCCTCTGTTTACTCTCATATATTTAAAGGTGACACGTGTAGCATTGTCTCACCAATGCATCACTGTCAAAAGAAGGCAATATTTTCCCCTTAGATGCTATATTTCTTTATCTAGCATTCTGCTATGAAGGTTCTTATACAAGCAGGGGTATATTTGTGTGATGAATGCTTGGTAACAGTGATCTAACTCATAAGCTCTGATTAAAATTATATCATCTATCTATGCTACACTAGGTTTATTTTGGATGGTTCCTAAAGCATTTTTTTCCAACTAGATAAACAGCAGTTTGCTCAACTGATCTAAGACATTTTTAATGAGGACCTGAAGACAAGAGCCAACGACTAAAGGCACGTACAATTTTGTCTGCAGAGAACAGGTGAAATGCTTATACTATGAGAGAAGAGTATTGATTGCAGGTCTTAGGTTGCACTCTTCAGTTTTAGCTCTGGCACTACTGACATTCAGTGAAAATGGGGAGGGGGGGAAAGCTGTTAATCACTCCCAAGGGAGACAGTAAAGGCATACCTCGAACATGATGAGCTCCATCAAACGCATATTCCTTTCTCCCGTGCTCACTGTATGTTTATTCATACACAATCACATGGCTTAAAGTCATGTGTGTCATTTGTCAGCATTGAGCATTCCCTGGAGAAGGCCTTCAAATAAACAGCCACACATAGCACATGACTGGATGCATGTAAATCCGGTTGGAACAATGAATATTTTATGTTTTCATTTGGGTCCGTCCTTCCGTTGGGACTAATTCATAAATCAGTTGGTTTAATGGCTTTGGTTTTCTTTTTGGTGCCTTGTGGCAGTGCATGGGTTAAGGGTTTTTATTAAAGTCATCGCACTCTTGGGAATTTGTGTGTAATGAAAGTTAGGGTGCAAATCCAGCCAGCATAGCAAAGATCTTGCTTTATTGGAATCCATCAGTCTTCCTCTGTCCTCAAAATAATGCACATTTTGAGCGGACATGCTGTTTTCTCGAAGAGGCAATAGAGCATAATGTGCCAGAAATCACTGGGCCTATTTTGCGTGTGTCAGTCAATTGAAGATTTAGAAAAGCTTCTTATTTTGTAACAAATATGCCGTTTTCCCCCCTCAGAGTCAAAACGATTCCATCTCCGACTTACAATGAAAGGAGGCTACGCTGTGCGATACTATTTGTTTCGGATGTGAGAAATTTTGGTTAGTGTTTTGAGTTTCAAAATGTAATTTGACCTTTTGTTGTGTGGGCATCAACAATGTAAAATCTGAATGCCTGTATTGAGAAATTGGTTTTCGGTTCTGCAAACTGGCTATGTTTGTTGTTTTTGCAGCCAGGAACACTGAAATTTACACAGATCTACATTAGAATGCAACTAGATCTGGTTTTTGACGAGACGAAACAGAGCATATTTGGACTGGAAATTGCAAAAGGAAACAACAGCCATATGGGTACAATGCAAACTTTCTTTAGTCTTCCTTATTTATTAGTTTTGTTTCCTTAGACTGTTAAAACACTGGATTTTTACTCACCAAAAGTACAGCACAAATTTCCTACCACATTATTATTTGTCAGAAAACCTCATTAAAATGGTCCAAAAGGAATCAACAGCACAGCACACACAGTGGAAACTACAGGCAATGACAGCAACCTGCAGTTGCAAGGTGGTTTTAAGTGCAGCTCAGTATACCTCAGGATATTCTATTTCAGGTTAGCCACTGTTAACAACTGCTCACTAACCAGCCACAGAACAGACACTTTTCTCTACCTCAATCCTTGGTGTTCATACTTTGTTTAAATGCAATGTTCTGCTGTCGGAGCTTTCTTCTTGGGATTCATGTGGACCCACCATCTACGAGCATAGCCCTGCATGGCAACTGCACTCATCAATGGCAACAGTCTCTAACTAGGAGGAAAACACACCTTACATCACACAAAAAACTTCTCAAGAGTGCCTAAAGTTACAAGAAGATGGGCCGAACCGTAGAAATTACAAACTCCCCAGATGCCAGTCTGATTGAATGAGCCATAGTAAACTCCCACAGTCCAAACCCTCCTAGCTTACCCAAGGGATCCACTACAAACACCCACAACCACCATGGATTAAACCGATGAGATGTAAAGTGTCAATTTGGGACTTTTGTTTAAATAGAGTTAGACATGGGAAGGATTCTAATCTCAATTAACTAGAGGCAAAAAAGCAAATCAGCTTATTTCCCCAAATTTCCTCAAACTAATGTCCTAAAGGCTTCAGATTAAAGGGAAATGCATTAGCCATGGCATGCAACAGTCAACACTTTTGACATTTGCATGCCCTTGCAGACTGTTTTAGAAATTTAAGCTGTCACAAGCAAGTATGAAGGACTTCAAGGTACGTGTCCTTCAAGCTGAGGCAAAGAGTCCAACGTGTAAATGCTTTTTACATTTATATAACAGTAGCTCCTTATTTAAGCCTTTCATCCAGTACGTTAGAGTTTGATTCCAAAAATGGCAACATATAGGATAATATTTAACCCAGTAAAGTTTAAAGCACAACCCCCCCAGAACCCTATTGATATAAGAGCAGGCAGATGAAACACACACATACACTAAAGGATTCTCACACACGCATTTTCATTACCAGGGGAACCATACAATACAGAGGAGTTGATTAGGATTGCCAACAAAAGGACAGTAGGCTCTGGCTGCCTCTCTGAATTCATTGTCATTAGCAGTGGAACACCAAGCCCTTTTCAAACTCATTAGTTGATAAAACAACCCTCTGATTTCCCATTAAAAAACCCATTCGTCCTCCCTCACTGGCGATGCTCTCCCTCTACTGCATCCCTGAATTTCCACACCTTCCAAACCACTCCTGAGGATAGCAGCCCTTATGCAAACTTTCAGTGAGTTCCTGCAAGATTTATTATGCAAGTGACATGTTATCACAAATCAAACTCCAACAATCTTAATGGCAATTTAAGATTTTGCATCTGTAACATTTGTAATAATTCTTTATTCAGAGCCTTTTTTAAATTTCTTTCCACTTGGGGTTTCAGAGCTGATGGCTGCTATTAAATGAATGCAACAGAAAAGTAATTGTGTGTGATTCAGCTATTCTGTGACTGATTTCTTTGACTACATTGTCCCTCCACCCCCCAAAACGAATCATTTGAATACCAAGGTTAAAGAGAAGCAGAATCATTTCTGTTTTCCTGGCAGAATAACAATTTATTTAATTTATTTAAATTTAGACAAAAGGAAATACATATTTGTGCTTTGTGCAGTATAATGAACAGCTTTGTTATATACACTTTTATACACCATTATATATAATCTCTTGTTACAGATACTTAAACTGAATGATCATCACGTACTGAATAGTCAGAAATATCAAAGACCCCCTTCCCCTCCCCGCCCGTACTGTTTGCACCCATTTGTTAAAGTTGTTTAAAAAAAATATTTTCAAAAACATTCATTCAAAGCTGGGTAGTGTCAAAATTCAAGTCAGAATGTCTTGTTCAGCCAGGACCAACTTCGCTGAAATCATTTATCCATCTTTTGAAGCAAAGGTCATGAACCCAAAAGTACCGTTAGTGTCTCGTCTCTGCTGTAATCCAGGCAAATCAATCCAAGACGGAAATGCACACAACAGCCAGAAACCACGCAGCATAATCTAGTTTCTCTCGACTGCTCTATGTCCAAGATCCTGAAGACGCACCTGAGCACAACATTTTTATTTTTAGCAGTGGTTCTGAGAAGCAGATGTGCCTTTTGACACGGTTCCTCACTGTAATGTAGATTGACAGGCAGTTTTGGTTTCGAGAAAACAAACAAACAAACAAACAAACAAACAACAACATCCCAGACTGGCAGAGTGTTTTACAAATTTGCATGGATGTCTTCATGTCGCAGCACTTTATAGGTGACCCAGTAGAAGATGTTAAATATGAGAAAGCTCAGGGGGAAAACGGCTCTGGATATGGTGTCAATTCGTTTGGCTCGGTCCACGAAACGCTTGTGAAGCACTTCTCCATCAAACATGGTAATTGGAGGTGGTGGTGGGGTGAACACGCTGGCTCCTTCCACAGCAGTGCCATCCTTGGTCTGCAGGCAGTGACCCAGGCCATAACCCCGGAAGTAAAAACCGCGGCTCTCCCTCACCAGTTCCTCCTCCTGTGGAGTCAAGCAGGGAAAAACAGATTGGCCTCTCGCTGTCAACATGGATTAGCATACAGCTTTCCACATTTCCGCTCAGTGGCTTATTCTTAAATGCGTCTGTGGTGTAGTAGCACAAAAGGGCGGCGCAGTGTAAGAATGAGATCACCCAAACAACAACAGCAAAAAGAAAAAAAGAAAAAGTTGTGTTTTCTAAAATGTTCTGTCAAATTCCTGACATTTGTTTTGTTTAATAAAATAGCTTAAACAGAAGAAAAAAATGATTGAAAACCTTGAGATTGAAAACGGTGATGATTTGTCACCAAGTGTATAACACCAGCCTAAGTTTAGGAGAATTACATTTAAGAGAAACAGAAGTCAAAACTCAAGCAAACTTATAATACATACATAAAACTGTATTGAAAAGCAACATTGTTACATTAGAGTCAGGGCTGAAAAAACATCAACATCTGCTTCTCTTAAAACTAAATAAGTAGTGATTTTTCAAAAACTAGAAAAATTCAGCAGACAGGGAAAAAAAAAGAAAAAACCATGCCTGGGTTGAGGGTTGAAAATCATCTGAAAGCACAAGTAAACGGTAGCAGTTTACTTTGTAGTGCTGCATGCTTCTGCTGCCACAGTTATATCAGCATCAGCATAGGTAGCAGACAGTCAGTAGAGATAACTGCTAGCAATATGAAACAGGCAGGTACAAAGTCCAACTTCTTTCAACTCTGAGGTGAGCTACCAATGGGAGCAAAGAACACCGGTACCTGAAGGCTTTTACACACCAAGTGCACTGTGAAAAAAACGACACAAAATTCTTCGGGCTTCTTCAGATGTGACCTCGTAGTGTAACGTATATAAACACAGCAAGTGTTCCATCGTAGCGGAAAACGTGGACCGCAAAAAAGTCTGCATCAAGTGATCGTAAGCTGGTCCTGGTTTTTTTTTTTTTTTAAACAACGAAAGGAAGAAATAGAGATTCTGGGTTCATCCCAATCTCAAGAGAAGGGTTTGATCCAGAGTTGAAGCTGTATCATGTTTCATACATATTTCAGGAAGTCAGTGGGGCAGAATTGGGAACATCTGAGGAGGCAGAGAAACGATACCAAAGAGCTAATTGACCCGGATCAGTGTCTGGCTGTGGGTTGGAGGTAAACCAGTATTATTTCAGTATTTCCGTATCATCATATATTCAATATCAGTGTATGTTTTAAGCTCCAAGTGAAATTGCTGCCAAATGCAGTGGTTAAACTGGTCAGATGGGTTTATTTTCATGAAATGAAAAGAAAAAAAAATCAAGCTTGATCTGAAAAAATAAATGTTGCAAATTTGTCCAGTGAAATTATGCATCTGGTGTGTGAGAGCTGTAACATGTGACCACTTGCACAGTTAGAGTCTACTCTAGGGTGATAGACTGAGCCCACAATACTGCCAGAAATATGATATTTTCATATTAAATCATGCATTTGGATTTGATGATGATACTGGGAACAGAGAGAAGAGCTTGGGTCCATAGGCTGACTATCAAAAATGTGACTTCTTCCAGATTATCCTAAGAGCTTCAAAATTTGCCTGGCGTATCCCTGAAGATGTTGAGTTTAAAGTAGATTAAAAGTATCTATAACAATCTACTTCATTCAAACAACCAAAGAAGTGAAAATGAGGGCATCTTCTTTTTGTCACTCTGAAAATAATAACCCCCATCTATCCCCTTTTCAAAGTTACAGAATGACAGACCTTTCAGAATGTTAATAAAATGGCTCAAAATATTAATAAAGTCATGATCTGGCATTATGCTTTGATGAATGGCTATGCACTTTTTTTTTTTAAACAGTTATTGAGACACTGTTCCCGCCCTTTGAAGAGAATATTAATAGACATGCAGCTTAACTCTGACAGCCCTCTGACACTTTGAGAGATTCACTTTAGCAGGGGAAAGTGAAGATGTGGGATCTAAATTGGATGATTAGTAGTCAGTGTGAAGGGCCCTGAAAGCTCTGATCCCCGTGTCCCGCCTCTCTCTGTTTCTCTCTCACTGACCCCGGCAGCTCTCTGGTTCTCTGCTGAATGTCATTTCTCAGTACTGTACAGATTTGGCAGAAAGATACTAAGAGTGCACATCTAAGTATACTAACTTACTGTAAACTTACACCTTGCGACCAACTTTCTGCTACTGCACTGGTAAACTGCACTATGCAACAGGTGGATAGGGAATACACTGCTCTTCTAGCACAGCTTAATTATCCCTCTGCCACCTTAAACGATACAGAACATCATGTGCTAAAGTCTAATGGTGCATTTCTCTAAAGATAATAGGCGCTCATCTCTGCCCTGTACTCTCCGCAGCAGCTATACTGGCATAACTTCAACTGAACCCGCTCTGATTACCACATTGTGCTCTGTGGAGAGTAAAGTTATTGTCTAAAAACACAAATGATCAGAACAGGCCAGCTATTTTTTTTTCCTGCTTTAGTAAAATTTCATGTGTTTCATGATCTTTAATTACATCGGTTAGTCATTTTACCCGTGAATAACTATGCTTACTCACTGGTACAGAATTAGTTAGATCATTAACATCATTGAATATAAAATGTGCATCTGAGTAAGGACTAATCTTTCAAACTATTACAATGGAAATACATTTTCAGTGTTATATGTCATCACTGAGCTGGGATTGGACAAGCGAAAGAAAATGGATGAGTCAATGGATGGACTGTATCACTGAAAGAAGAGTGTCCAGAAAATATGTAGGACACAGCTGAAAGGTTACAATGACTGGCAGTGATTGTTCTGCCACTGCACCAGAAACAGAAGATTCTGTAGTAAACAAACAATAAAAATAAAAATAAATCACTGGGGGGTTCAGAATTTTTGAAAACCACTATCAGGGAACCAAATAAAACATGAGAAGAAACAACGTTTAAAAACAAAACCCAGGGTATGTCCAAATGTACACGGGTACTTTTGAAAATGAAGCTTTTTTCTATGAGTTTGGGCCTTCGTCCACACGTAAATGGCGTTTTGAGATTTTTAAAAACTCCTGCCAGGACGGAGAGTTTCGAAAACTCACGCAACGTCAAAGGTGTGCGCCTTTTTTGACGTCATGCTGTGCGCCACGTAATTGTGTACACGAGATAAATTTCTACAATAGACTACATACTGTTGCTGTTTGTCTTACTATATGCAGCTTTTACACGCTTACATATACACACGCAGTTACTGTCTCTCCATTTAGAAAAGACCAAAGACTGCTTCTATGCTTCATGTGTTTACTCTTTCCTGTCCAGGCTTCTAGACTTCTGATTGGCCAAGATTTCTACATGGTTAGGATTATGTCGGCACCTGTTGCTTTAGCCCCAGACAGACCATCACCTGACCAAGACCAAGACCAGACCAAGCTCAATCAAAACTGAAATGAGGCAAAGTGAATAACTGCATTGTGGTCTGACAAATAAAGTCGAATATTCTCTGGACATCATGAAGCCGTGGTTTCAGCTTGTTATCAATACACAATTCAAAAGTTTACATCTGTGACTGTACTGGGGTCCATATCTAATAGCTTCCTCCTCTGTGAAGGCACTATTAATGCGGAATCATACTGAATGACACATTTCAAGTTTTAGAGAACATGCACTACCACCCAGATGATATATTTATCCAGAAAGTAGTTGAAGTTTGTTCAGCAAGACATTATTAAACCACATTCCACATATAATACAACAGCATGGCTTCTCCTTCGACAAGGAAAGAATACCTGGAGCCTGAAAACAGGTTACACACCGGGGAAGAATAAAGGGCAAAGTGCAAAGATTTCCACAGCTAAAGGTCAAAGGGACATGACTATAGAAACAAGATGAGATCAGCACAAGTTGGGTTTAATTCAGGAAAAGAGGTCAGGAATTCACGTTTAAGGTGAAAGTTGCTCTAAACAATTTGAAAAAGTGGATGCATGGACAAAAATAGGGTTGGGAAGGTCAGGGTTGACACAGGGTTAGATTTTTTACTCCTTTTACCCTGGAGCAAGCGCTGCAGTGCTGATTGAGACTCCTGTAGGTTGAGTTGTTACCAGGGATGTCACTGGCTTTTCGCAACGACTCAACGCTCCCAGGCTGACTAGCAGATACCTCCATTGGAAAGGATGGTAGACAAACAGAGATAGCAGTTACTGACCATTTCATTTTTTGTGATTAAAAAAGTTGATTTGAAGGCATTTACCTTATATTTTTGATTTGTTTTGAGTATTAGAGATAAATTTAAAAAAAATCATGTTCATATTATATACACAAACTTTAGGTCCAAATAACAAACTCAAGTAGATGTTCTTAGCTTTTAATTAAAGAGATACTGTGAGTGTAGATGTTAGTGAAAAGAAACGGCTTTGAAGACAAAAAAAGAATCCTCAGGGAGCCGGTTCAAGTTATTTTTGTAAAGACTATAAATGGAAGTACAAATCCATGTATTTTTTTTTACACATTTGATCGCTGTGGGTATGCACAGTATCTCATTGATTAAGCCTCAGCCAGTCTGGGATTTGTTTGCCTTAGACTCGCAACATCTCTCTGCTACAACTACAGGGCCGGGCATCAATATCCCTCAGATGTATCGTTTGTGCCCTCCAACTCCTCTGTGGGAGCAATTGTCCAACTGATGTGAACAGGGGAAGTCCTTTTCTCTACAGACCATTATTCTCCATCTCTCCTCTTTTCTCTCTGCTGTGCAGGAAGCAAGCTGTCCTGCAAATCTGCTGGACTCTCCTGCATTTACAGGGAACACTGCCACAGGTCTAGGAGGCTGCCTAGACTTGGAGGTGTTTAATGGGATTTTCAAAATGTCCTGTTTGTTTCTCTTGAGACAAACATCTCTGTCTTACCACTCTTTAAAGACTTTTATTCGTCAACTTACAAGCTGTCGTCTCTAACAACTGCTATTCAGGATATGGATTCAGCTTAGGAGATATATTTTTGGATGAAAGAATATGCCAGGACCAAAAAACCAAAAGATACCACTTACTGAGGCGTACTTTCCAGAGGGTTGGTGTTGCAACTTTTAGACTGATCACTATTAATAAACACAAAGTCAAGCGTTCCAGGTAAATAAGAAACCATTAATAAGAACAAACCAAACTGCTAAGTTGTTGCTAAGATGCTCTATCACAGTTTTACCCTTTTAATTCAAATGGACAGCCTAATAATGGGAGTTATGCCTATTTATCTTCTGCACATACAACGTGAACATGCTTGTGCCCCTTTAATAGCAACTTACCAACTATAGCTGCAAACTTTATTGTGTGATAGAAAATTATAAATACATGGAGTTCAGTGTTTCACTGTGGCAGAGGTAAAAGATCACAAGATCTTCTAACAGGTCACTGCTCATGAGCTGAACTGAAGAGACTGGATCTTCCTTATTTAATGTGACAGCCAGCTGTAGCGTGTTGACGCTGTCAGCTCCTGGATCTACAGCATCGCACAACAACAAGAGGCAAAATTCATTGCTAAATAGGATGACGAGGACTCGAGAGTCTTCTTTCTTCATCCATGCTTTTCAGAATCTACTAGATTGTGACACTGAATACAAGTGTGTATGTTTTTCTTTCTGGTAGCAGTGTGTGTTTGCATCATTTACACTTACTATTCTCTGCTGCCGCTGCTTTTTCCTCAGCCTGATGAACTCCTTGTGTTGCCTTGAGACGAAGTTAACTGCTGCATACTCCAGAAGGGCAGCAAACACAAACAAAAGGCACACTGCCATCCAGATGTCAATGGCCTTCACATAAGACACCTGGAAAAGGACAAGGTCACAGTGTAATCAATAGCCAATCAATAAGGCTGATGGATAATTTCGTGGGTTGTTCACAGGCTCTGGGCTATAATGACATACATCTGTGGGATGGCCTAGAATTCAAAAGAGTCAGTGGGTTGTGGGCTGTTGACACATAGCCATGAGGCAGGTCACAGCTAAGGCTTGGGGAGTCCCCTGGCCGTGTCATTCATGAGAGAAGATATGTCACACCACATCAGCAGCACCAACCGAGCAGGCACTCACTCAACTGAGCAGCATTTAACTGACTGTTACAGATACATACAGAGAAGCAAGGAAAAACAGAGAGGGATTGACAAACAGTTTCTTTTAAATGACTCCCTGTGGCTCAGGAGGTGGAGCGGGTCGTCACAGAATAAGCTGCTGTAATGTTATTGTGAATAGGTAAATGTGTCTTGAATAGTCAAAAGACTAAAAATGTGCGGTATAGATGTCAGTCCATTTACCACATAAAGACAAAAGAAAGATTTTTCTTCATTTCCATTGACTTCACTTTGGTGGGCACAGCCAGTACAACTTTGTAGGAGTAATAACAGGATGCGACAAATTCTGATTTCCGTCAAACTCTCACTGAAGTGTCTCAGGAATTCAGTACATGCACAGTTTAATTCAGCTCAAATCTGGGACAAACTGCAGTCATCAAATAGATAAGTGCCGATTAAGGTTGTGTATAGATCTGAAATGGCTGACATCGTGTGTCTGATGCTTTTCTTGTGATAGTCACAAGGTCTTCGCATTAAATCTATACTCATACAGAACCAATTACACGTAAAACGTCTTTTACAGACATTGATTCTCTGCTGCTATCTCATGAAACATTTGATTTGTCTTGTCAGGTAATATCAGCAAAGTTAATGGTTTTTGTAAATCCTGCATCACTTTTATGTCTGAAAATGTCAGAAGAGTGTACAATTTTCAAACTCAGTTCACAATGCCATTTATTACATATGTTTCACTTGGTCAATGACCTTTTTCTGGAGCTGATAGCGTTATGTAATCCTATTTCTTCTCATACTTTAAGTTTTTGGACAAATCTGGGAATATTATTAGTTTCAAAATCTGTTCATTTGTTTCCGAGGATAATATTTCAGGTCCTGTGGCAGAAAAGTTACTTCTTTGCACTCTGCTGACATTTTAGATGTGATTTATTCCATCTCAGATCTTCTAATTTTAAAAGCAACATGCTAAATCCAGCAGACTGATGTTTATTTTAAACTTCACCTGAATTTGAACAATTTTCCAGGGCTGTAGGTTTCTAAATGGTAGTGTAGGACTCACCTTGGGCAAAGAGGCTCTTGAGCCGGAGCTCTGTGTGGTCATTGTAAGTACTGTGGTGATGCCCAGACCAACTCTGGCTGGTGCAGCATCCATGTTTATCCAGAAAGAGACCCATGAGAGGATAACAATGAGAAGGGAAGGGATGTACATCTGGATTAAGTAGTAACCCATCTGACGTTCCAGGTGGAACTTCACCTCAATGCAGGTGAACTGACCTGCAGAAAGATGGCATAAAACAAAAGACTGCCTGTTTTGCTTTACTTGTTTTTCATGTTTTTGTGTCATGACCTGAAATATAAATACAGTAAGACACAAGTTTGTCTTTTAAAATGACATTTTTCTTGAAGGCTACTAGACTTCATGCAATCAGAATTATGCAGGGTGTACTGGAATAAGATGTGGCTTACTGCGACATGCAAAAAAAGTCTTATAACATGGGTAACTTGGTGGTTACACTTATTGCACCTGTGTTGTAGTGCTTAGTGCAGTAGCCCAAATCCTTCTCTTCTTTTAGCACAAACTGAGGCAGGGTGAGATCATCGGCCACCTGAACGGGGTTCTCAGACAGCCACTCAAAGATTAAGTCATTCATCGTGTAACCAACTGTGAAAGGAAACCAAGGGGCACAAAAAGGAGAGAACAGACACAAATGGTGAGAAACGTGCTCTTCCAATTACAACTTAGTCTCTTCTACTCGTTCTAAACAAATCCCTCCTTGTTTCTGTGTTTTTCCCTTGCACCCTCCCTGATATTTGAAGCATTTAGCTGATATATACCCCACTATTTTCACATCATGCATTTTCCTACACTACTGCATATTTTTGAAAAAAATGCATGCAGCTGCTAATGTACGTCACGTCGCACACTCAGTATTGAACATGCAATACTATAACAAAAATACCAAGTTACCACTGACTATCTGCCAAACTGCACCAGTACAACAGCACTTTACAGAGTTATGGATAGCACTCTTCACAAAATACAAGATGTAGTGAAAAACAAGGCTGCACATTATTTAGTCGTTCGGAGACGAGAAGTGCAGAAGTTTCCAAAAAAAAGTCTGTGTTGTTTAACTCAGACAACCTGCTTCAGCAGCTATTGAATATTCTTGTTATCACTGCCGTTATTCCTCCTCCTTAACCCAATTTTTCAAGGGGATCGTGCTACCACGGTCTAAAATCTGTGCATGAGAAAACATTAGAAACCTTGGCTAATGAGACTTTGAGAGAGGCAGTGGTGATGTAATGCTCCTCTCCCCATCTGTCCAGCTACCAGCTACCCTCTGCCATCCTGTTTGTCACAGTAAAGGTCACATCATACTGCACAGCAACAGTTGTGTTGTTGTGGTTGTTTGAAGGTTACAGACTAAGGAGGCGACACGAGGAGCATATCTGCCTGAGAAACTCTGAGAAACTGGTGCCAACACACCATTAACGCACAAACTACAACATAGAATACGACTGCCACACAGTTTAGAGAAGCACTGAGATGTAAACACTTGGGATAAGTCAACAACTGTTTTTCTTGAAACACAAATACATTCACATGTTGATTTGCATCATTTTTTAAAAGGGTTACACTCCTCACAGCTGCGTGATTACAGGTGTATTAAAAATGCATGATGCATGCAACAACAGCAAGGAGTTCCTCGCACATCTAAATAATACTGATGTCTACTGGGACCCTTTAGGGCCTGAATTACAAAAGACATCAATTATTCACGATGTTACATCCAATCCCACACCACCAGTCTGAAAAACACCACCACTAAAGCACGCTTCTGTCGTTCACAAGGAGAAGTCACTGTCATTCAGACATCCTGCTACAACAACCAAGGGGAATACCAATGCTTTCCTGAGATAATGAGATGCTTTTCTGTTCTGTTCCTCTGCCAGACGGAGCTAACAGACGTCAAAACGCAACTGACACAGCTTTCAAGGTGCAATAAAAATGGAATTCATGAGCCAGCATGTCTGGAATATCTCAGCAAGGTAGAGTAATGAGCATTAGTCACATGCCATCTCTTTTTTCATGTTATAAAGTCTTTCACCTAATGAAAGTTACAGTTATGCTTCACACTTCCTGTTTTAGTCTTGGCTTTCACTAATAGACTAACTTCCAAGTAGATTTGGGGTTACTGAACATTAATGGCTCGTGGCAAAGCAAACTAGTATAAGCTGCATATATGAGGCTTTGAAGTGTCAGAATAAGGCAGAATCCTATGGTTGGCTCTGTTTATATATCTGTATCAGCCCGTGGCCTTGGCTCTCTAAACCTCAGAAGATAAACTCCTCCCCCATTATTCTCCTCTCTCACGCTCTCATGCTGAGCAGATGGTGTTGCGAGAGCTCTAGTAGTGACAGCAAAACCCATAATGTCCTCTTAACATTAAGCTCAAGCCAAGGTGATCGCACCCTTGGGTGGTGTACACTAGCAGCATCCTCAGTAGGCCTTTAGTCATAAATGATTACCTCTCCTCTAATGGCAGTGTGATGTGATACAGTAACCCCCAGAACTAACACACATACACGCACGCACATATAGACAGACACGGCCACATCAGGCACACATCTGTTTACCCGAGCGTCTCCTCTTCTTGCACTTCTGAAGGGTGAAATGTCTTTATATTTTATTAGATTTAAAAAAAACTCAGCTTGTCCCTCTGCTTCTTGATTATTACCGAGTCAGGTACAAATCCAGATAGCGGTTAAAACTTTAAACTAAACTTATTTGGATAAAAGCTGAATCTTTGGAAGGCTCTGTCTATTTCACCCTTTGCCAAAGTTGAATTCTTTTGTCCCTGTGAAGGGAAATTGGGTCACCCCTAGGCACAGAGGGTGGGTCACATATAATAAAAGGGACACAAAATTAAAGTTTTATTATTTATATCCTGGAAATTGGTTTCATGAGGGCAGATACTATCTCTGCTAAAGGCAAAGGAAGTCTGAGAGAGGAGAATACTCTTCCTACTCGGTTTTATCAGTGCATAACATTTTAATAGGTTTCAAATATGTTTTCTATGTTTTTTCCAAACTCTCTGGTTTTAATAAATGCGGAGAAAATGTGGTGCCTTGGTCCAAACCTTTGAAACTGTCCACTCCACTGAGCTGACTGATTTGTCTGGCACTGTGACGTGAAAAAGTAGCTTCTCTGTCAAACATTCAGTCCAATGAGCACCAAAAAACAGGACTAAAGATTAGCCAGTGTCACTGGCGGCATCAATGCTGATGCCAAGCAGTTGTCAAGCTGTGCAAATGAGCAAATCAGTCTGTTTTGCATTTGTGCTGCTGAAATTGACATGATCCCCTCGAGAGTATTTTACATAGATGGTATGCATTCTATACAAGGGGTAACATCGCAGTTTGATTTTGCTTTGGTCTGCTCTGCAAAACCAATATGTTTGCACGACTGCACTTCAGTGTCAACCTAAAATTGTGATAGCTTCAGACAAAGAGGTTAGTCTCTAAAGAGTGATTAGGGGAAAATCAAATCCTCTCTCCCACTGAAATGTTCAGGAGTGGAGACAGTGTCAGACTAAAGACAGAAACAAAGTGTAAGAAGCTGACAATTCTGCCATGTTTCATGTAAGAAAATGTGAATGATTCAAGGGGGGAAAAGTTCATTTTATTTTTCCCTTCTCTGAGATTACAGCAGCAACATAGCTGGGGTTTTCCACTCGTCCCTTTGCCCAGCAAAGTTTTCAGTTCCTCCCGGGGGATCCTCAGATATTCCCAGGCCAGATACGATATACTCCTTTGAGTTTCAGGCCTTACACAGGGGTCTTCACTCAGCAGATGTAAGCAGATGTAAGCACCCCCCCCTCCCCAAAAAAAAAAAGATGCCTAGGAGGGATCCTAACTAGATGCCCAAACCAACTTAATTGACACCTTTTGGCAATTGTGGTATAAAATGACAGCTGCTATCAGTAGAAAGTCAGTAACTGACTAATATAGTTAGCTTCACCAAGTGGATAAAAATACTACTGTTGTTGACGTAATGTCAGTCAACATCTGCCTCTATAGTTGCCTAACTTCCACAGCTTAAAAGGTTTTGAAATGGCATGTTTGCTCTTAAAACGGGAACAAGAATGAGGCTGTTTTCGGTAAAAGCAATTGTATTTCATAGAAAAGCTTTACCTGATAGTGTAAAGTTCCCCACATCCTAATCTACAGGACAAAAAAAGCAAACATCGGTCTATACAACACAGCGTGACTTTTGATCACTGTCACAGGATTTTTACCCACGAGACAGCGGTTCTTATACTAGTTCTACAAATGCTGGTTATGGTTTGGGTTAATATAGACCCTTTTGCACTGTTAGATGTTTTGCTATTTGAAAACAGCAACATGACCGGTCAGTTGTAACAGTGTCCAGGAAGCAACATTAATTATGGTGATATAGGAACAACACGGCAATATCAGATTGTGGATGGATTAAGTACAATTGGATCCTTGACTGCAAGACTGCACCCAGCTTGAGGAACCTATTTCGCACACATATGCTTGCACATTAGCATCTTTCTCAATCAAGCTGGTAGAGCGCTTACAGTTTCACCTTTGCAGTCGTAGTTTAATAAATATTTAATGTCCGTTACTGCTGTTAAGCAATATGTGGACAATTGCTCCTTCTGTGAAATAGTACGGACAATGGTCAACACCAGCTTGAGTAACAATCATATTAGCAATATCGATTAGAAACATGGACAAACATATGAAGCAATTACAAAACGTCATGCTCACACAAACCTGTAGGTTTGGCATACAGCAAGGCAAATGTAGAAAAGGGCAAAATGCAGAAAATAAGAAACCAAAGGAGGATAAAAGAGAAGTGAAACAAAAGGAAGAGGAGGAAATGAAAACTCACAGCTTTCAAGCTGCATGGTACAGGTCTGAATGTCCATTGGGAAATTCTTCAAGTCCATAGGGCAAGACAGGGTAAGAGTCAGCCTGAGATAGAAAAAACAGATTGGAAAAGAGAAATAGGACATAGAAGATGTCAGAGGGCACGACAGAGCTCGAGGAAAAGACACGAAGCATAAGAAGAAACGATCGATTACAACATTTTTAAAAAGTGGCTTTATCAGCGTCGGCTGCTTTGTTTTGCAATTTATGAGTCTGTATGAAAATGTTCAATAAAAAGTAATCGAATAAATAAAAATAATAAACAGGGATCTTTTTTTCAAAAAGAGTAGATTGGAAAACAGCTTGGATTTGTCTGCCATTTGATCGCTCACTCACTCACTCACCACAGTAATAGAGAAGTAATTGGTGCAGGCATCCCGACTTTTATTTGTTGTTTTGATGCATTAAGCCTTCAAGGATTCTTAGAGAAGAGAGAGAGAGCTATTTGGGAGTCTGTCTGGAGGAAAGCTCTGTAATTACCTGCTGTAATGCATTGCCCAGAGGCGAGACAAGAGCCGGCAGCAATATACACTCAGGCACCCATTTGCAACTGTGTTATGATGACAATATCTCTTTCACCAGCAGAAGAACAAACTACAAATACTCCACTGGTTGACTCGCTGCCTAAATTGTGTCATGCACTTAGAGGGAACAAAGATGTTTGATGCATAATTACCGAACACAGTTTGCAAGCAAACCTAAGAGATGCAGTAAATCAGTGGAATGAGGAGGTGATCATCTGTATTTGCAATACTGTGAGTCTGTTTTCAATGGATGATGTCAATGTTTATGCCTCTCCCTCTTCCTAAAGAAGTTTTTCTTCTCAGTAAAATAGTAATTTCATGATGGGAAAATCAACAACAAAACATATAAACATAAATATCACTGCACAACATAATAACTTAACGCGAACAGACTTTTGTGATTAAATTGTTTTCTATTGTGTACATTTTATCAGCGTTTTAATTACAAACATGTTTAAAGCTTTAAAATGGGAACTCGGGACACACGAGCACAGAGTAAAACTACATCTACTCCTCCCGTGCAATCGTTTATTAAGTCAGCTGCAAATTTCCCATCTGGCGCAGAGCGTCATTAAACAAAATCGCATCAAAGACTCCGTCACACACTTGCCACTTGACATGTTTGCACCCTATTAATAGTTTGGTGACCTCCAGTGCGCATAGACATGCACTGCTTGGGTGGAAAGATGCAGTAAGATGAGTAACTGGCATTTCAGCAATCTGCTATATTTTAGTTAAGAAGTCATGTTTGAGTGGGATTTATTTTCCATTTCTCTGCTAGCACTAGACTGGGGAGCAATTTTTTTTTTTGGGGTGGGGGCATCTTCACTGAATTTAGCAGAAATGGAGTGCCCAAGTTGAATAATGATTTGCTGATGCATAGGGCTGTGCGAAATCTCATCTCCCGATATAAGACACCTATCGTCCGATAACGATATAAATCACAAAAATGTAACATTTTCTATAAATTCTGTGAATCTCGGGCAGCTCGACTTGCCTGAAGTGTTCTCAGCTGGGCGTCGTGTAGCTGGAGTCGAGTGTTTTAATCGATGCTGAAACGATACATTTTTAGACATAAGTTGTAACGGCGCCGTTTTCTTTGTGAGTATTTATTACACGGCGTGCTGCGGGGAAAAGCCTGTTCTAACGTTTGCGTCTAAGGTTTATTTTTTAGCACCTGGCGGCTCTTTTTTGGCTTCTCATCTGTAAATACTCTGCATACTCTTTTATGTGAGTCAGTTTATTTTGAAAAGTCTCAACAGGATCTTGAACTTTATTGTGAAAGGTTTATGTGGAACATAAACAAGCGGACACGCGATGGTGTTACCGTCGTTGTTGCTAACGACAACGCATAAAAACAAGCGCTTGTCCATCCATCGTGTGGTTATATTAAATATAAGAGAAAAAGAGAAGTTTAAGAAAGTAATATAACCACTACAGTGACATCAAAACGATGAGAAAATATTGCCGTATACAGTTTATTTTGCGACACCACGAAACAAACGATAGACGTTTTTATATCGTCATCCGATATATATCGTTATATCGAACAGCCCTACTGATGCATATACATAGTTTGAGTTTAATGCCTCGATTAAAAAAAAAAAGAAAAAAAGACGCTGTTTAAAATGTAAACCAAAAGAAAATACAACAATTTTCCAAACTCATAATCCCAGATCTTTGTCACAGCAGCGCAAAGGAAACCTATTCAGTGTTTGAACTGAATCTAAGAAACAGTTTCAGTCCACCAATCTGCAAAAAACTGAGTCTACAAATTCTCTACAATTTCAGAATAATGTTTCTCTGCGTAAAATTGTGAAGGCTGCAAATATCTAATCATCTACAGCACATAATATCAAGAAAAAGAGTCCAAGAATATGCATGACATGACCCTGTCTCACCTCTGAGATGTGCTGCTGCCAAAAAATGTAAAATGAGCTACACTTTTCTTTAAATAGTACATTTTCTCACTTTAAACATTTGATATGTTTACCATGTTCTTTATTGTGAATAAAATATGGGTTTATGAGATTTGCAAATCAATACATTTTCTTTTCATTTACATTTTACACAGCATTTCAACACATTCTGAATTTGGTTTGGAAAATATTGTATGTACAGTAATGTTGTATATAAAGCCTAAAGAGGACAGAACAAAATCTGAAGTAAAATAGAAAGTCTCAAGCTCAAACTGAATAGAATTAAATGGACTTCACACATGAATAATTCCCTCTTTAGGGGGTTTATGGTTAGAAATGGGCAAAAAAAAAATTCTACAGGTCAGACTCTCACTCACAAATCCAAACCTACTAGAGACTGAAATTCAATAAATTCATGTTGTTAAAAAATAAATTAAAGTGTTTTCTAAACATAACTAGATAACCCAGTACCAGTGGTCCTGCTGTTCTAGAAATATAATCTTTAGTTACCTGATACTGTAAAGAACGCTGCCATCTTGGAAAATCCGTAGCAGCTTGTTATCAGTAGTGACCTCATGGAAATTGGCTCCTTTCTCGTTTGCGAAGAATAAATCAGGTTTCCAGATAGAGTCCAACATGGATGGATCCAGATCAAGGGAGTCATCGGGGTATTCGCTGTATGCCAGACGAGGGTCATTCCATTTTTGCCGTAGAAATACATTGAGCCTGTAGTCCTGTGGAAGAACGCAGGGTAGTTAATGGAAAATATACCATCAGTGGAGGTTGCAGTTAGATGGAAAACTCAGAAGTGGATTGTTCTGCTGTAGTTTGAGAAGTTCTGGGACCAGTCTGATACGGCTCACTGTTTGTCCGTTCTTATTTTGAATTGAAGCTAAACTTCTCAAAGCCAGACAGAAATATCATGAAAGTTATTCTCTTGGGATGGAGTACGACTTTATACAACATTAATTCGAGCTATATAATGTTTCTACTTTATATTTCCTCATGATGAGAATAACACACTTTAATGAACGTCCTTTCATTTGAGAAATGTGAAATGTGTGAAAACCCTGGAGACTGAGCAAATAAATGGAAAATCTGAAAAATATTCATATCACACCTAACAAGAAAGAGCAAGCGCTAAGGTCACTGCAGATAATTCATCTTTGTTTGCTGCATTATATTTGTCAGGTTTAGTAAAAAAAAAGAAAAGACTGCGCTGAGAGCTGATAATGAAGGCCAGGCTAAGGAAATACACCAAACACAGCCTGGCCTGCAGCCAGAAGACATAAGTAATTAAATTAGAAATCTAATCAGTACAATTAATTCATCATTTCTCTGTGGCCAATTGCAGTTATTAAGGTTTTTTCTTTTATTTATTTAAAAAAAATAAGAAAAGTCCTGCAGTTAAAATATTAATGTTTTCTGGGTTAACCTGACTGTAGCTTTGGAGCTCTGGAAGTCCCCCGGATACCCTTAAACACTTCACTGCTTTACTGTAGTGTTAATGCAGACGTAAGGGGAGCCATTTTTCCTGTCCTTTCACCCTTCTCCCTTTTCTTTCATTTTCTCAATTTTTCATTTTAATTGCAGAGTGGACAGTTCATTATCAGCATGTCAGTGACCCCAATGGTCTCTGAAGGTTGCACTGTTATGCTCCAGGAAACAGAAATTGCTTCAGCACTTAAAGGATTAGAAACCAATAAGTTAGAAAAGGAAAATGAAAAGTATTTTTTATTATTAATCATGCAGAGAGATACAACTGTACCATAATCTGCTGCTATAATCATGTCAAAGAGTATTTACAATATTTAATTTTCTGGGTTACATTTTTAAGAAATGTGTAATATTTGTACATGCTCTTCTTACCATGGTCGTTTCTGTGATTGAACCAAAGCTGTTGATAAAAATATTACAGGTGACGTTCACAGGCGGACCTGGGGAAAAGAGATAAGAACATAGATGCACACTTGTCCCTGCGATTTATGAAAAAGCACCACTGTGAATATTTGTCTTTGCACCTTCTAAGGCTATAGAAAATGTATCCATTGTACCACTACTTTTCATCTGCTTACAGTGACTGTGACTTAAAAATGTTATTGCAATGCATGCAATGCTAATTCCAGTTCTGAAGTTGGAGTTCCTGCTATTCCTCTCACTGTCAGTGTAACGACAGCTTAAAAGCTTCATGTAAAAGTCTGGGCACAAAGATAATGACAGGAGGAACAAATATAGTCAGGCGTCTGAGAAAACAAAATAGTGCTCAGGCCTGTCTACATTACATAACTCAGGGAGGATGTTTTATAGAGTCACACACTCCACTAACAAGTACACCACAGAGGTACAACATTAAGAAAAATATTTTGTTGCTTAAACCCTGACACTGTGCGGAGCTGTGTTCAATGTGTGGAGGACACACATGAGAACCTTACTCTCAGGTGCTTTGTATGCACACCATCTACCCATATCCTCTCCTGGTGACTTGTGGGTGGTTCAAACTGTTTCTTCTCTAGAAAATCCAGGTAGCAGTTTTGCACAAATATTTTGTATGTAACAGAATTTTGGTTTTTGGAAGTAATGTCGTACTGAGACAAAATTACAGCGGTTGGGTATCTCATAGCATAAAGCATACGAACAGCTTTAAATGTTAGAATTCTCCTACAGTTTTGGTGAAGACACATACACGGCAAATGCACATGAGCTTGGCGAGTTGTTTAGCTTTCACAGCACAGACTCACTACTGTTTGCTTTGTTTTCTAATGCTTGTACTGTCTCTAGGATTTTCTTGAGGGCTACTGCGACGGTCTGCCATGGCGTACGCTGTACCTTTGAAGTTGGGTCTGATCCGTGCATCATATCCTGATGTTTTCCCCATGAGTTTGTCCAGGAAGTCAGAAGGTGAAAGCTCTTGTTTGCTGGGGTGCTTTATCTCCTCCTTACAGGAGCTCAGTCTGACATTACCCAGGAGGAGAGGCAAAGACGGGAACAACAAATACAAAGAGAAAGAGAAGAGAGAGGATATGAAAAACGGTAGTGAAGGAGTGCATTCATGTCTGAGAGGTAGCAGTGGGGGTTGTGGGCAAAGAAAAAAAAAATGAAGCCAGCAAGTCAGTCATCAGCACAAAACACAGCAGTAGATGCGAAATGAGGGTGAAAAATGATAACTGAATGGCTTGCCTCAGCTGGCAACTAAAAGCTTATCTATTTCCCATCATGACTAAGACTTATTGAAGTTGTTAGACCCTAACTACTGAGAAGCAAAACAGAAGCAGAGGTAAACTTGTCCCTCCTCTGTGCCTCCCACTGCTTGCGGCTTACCAGGGGTAAAGCTTGACAGATTGATGGCTCAATTGTAATGCTATGAATGTCACACTAGGGAGAGGAAGGAGTTGATACGAGCTCCAGTAAGGCTCGGGCAGCCACTGACAAGAATAACCAACAGCCTGGAGTGAAAGGAAAAAGAAGAAGGGTAACAAAGAGGGATATCTTAAGGAACACACAAAGAACAGTACACATTGGATTTGACTTCTGTTTGGCTCTGGCTGCAGCGCAGCATATTGCACCCCATGAATTTGATACAACTGTTAACAGTTCATGATTCTGTCAAGATCTAAAGCTACGTACAGATGGCAGGTTCAGTCCCTGGGAAGGCACAGTATTGCTGATACCCTGTGTTTTCCTCATTAAGTCTGGAACCAGTCTGATTTACCAATCTTATGCTCTTTGCTTTAGAGTCACAAAAACTGCATGGGCAGTTTATAGTTTACAGGGTGACTTTGGGGACAATATTTTTTAAACATGTGTGAAGCCGAGTTGGTCCTAAGATATGCATTATTTGCAATAGCACAGACTACAATTAGGAATTTTAAAAAAGGGGGCTCTAGTGATGGATCACTGTGGCCAGTTTAGCGTTTACTGCATGCAAGAAGTCCAATTTGTGACTCAATTTATCCACTTGTGCCATTACTTATTTTATATTACTCTACAGATTTTTTTTAAAAATTGAAATTCCTTCGCAGACTGATATATTCATTTCCATATGGTGACATTTTGCCTCTGTAATTCTCAGTTCTGATGGACACCAACTGTACCTGAAAATAGCCTGCACGGTAATTACTACGGTCACTTCCTCTTATTTCTGTTGCAGTGTGTGTAGGGGTAAAAGAATGCATCACGTTTGTTTTGTTCTTTGAACTGCTTTAATTTTACATCCTCTCATTCGGTTTTAGATGATCAGAGTCATTAATGGGGCAAACATTCACTTCTGGTGCTTCTTTAATGGAAAAGCTTTTTGTCATCAGTCCCCTTTGATTTAAATAAGGACGCTGATTTGAGCTAAACGTATAATCTAGCTCTGCCATCTATTACTGTGACAAGACAGACATGTTTATGTATCACTGTGTGTAGATTTAGTTACTGAAAGAAGAACTCCTTGTTGTTCCAAAACCTGTGACTATGGCTCCGATACTAAAGCGTATTGCCTACCAATTGGAAGGTCTGTGATCGATGCATCTATCGGAGTGTGACTTTGTGTGTGAATGTTAGAAAGTCCGAGTTTCCAAGCAAGCATCTTCAGCTTTATTTTTTAATGAATTCATTCAAATGTACTCAACTTGCTGTTGTTATTCAAAGACCAACACTTACAATTTGATTATCACTTCTGTGATAGTTTCACTAGCAAGCTTTGTATATATTTTTTAAACTTTTTAGACTGAATATTGTGTTGTGCTTGCCCGCGGTACTTCTGGTACAGTGCAACTAATCTGACAGCTCATCTATACCTCTGGAACTCTAGTTTTACTGTTACTGTGCTCATTGATTTTACCAGTGTCTGTACCACAAGTAAAGCGAGCTTGTTGCCTTGCATACATAGTGAGGTTAGATGGATTCACTGACAACCAAAACAACATGCCCATGAACATACAAGCCTTATCACTGGAGCCCTTCTTTTGCTTTCATCATAGAGACGTGCACATATCAGTCTTTGGTGAAAGCTCGACTCTCACTGGTCCCATAACTCCCCTCACTCCACGCACTCCTTCCCCTCTAGTAACACTGATGTAACACGCGCACCTCTCTTATCTTTTTTCCCCTCTCACAAGCGCTTGGCTACAAACACAAACAGGTGCACAAGGGGATGGATGGATGGATGGTCAGCCTCTTACTTGCAGTAAGCCACTGATAACAACAAACAATCTGTCTTGGGTTGCGTCCCTTTCACAAACCAACACAGAACAATAAAGCATCCTGTTTGGCCTAAAGTGTGATTTTTCTCTCACAGGTGGTCACAAGAATTCAAAGACAAATGACTGTGACAGTAAACTCTTTAATCTTGAAGAAATATTGACAGACAAAGAATAAGACCCTACAACAAGCATGTGTTGGCAGTGTGAATGCTTTTGATGTGGATGGCTCATGATCAAAGAAAAGATGCTGTTACATGACATTTTGGGAAATAAAAAATCATGGAGAGGTGAACTGCAGTCAAGACACTCAGTCTGCCCCACAACGCTGTCAGCCTAGCTCACAGGACAAGCTTCACCATTTCTATACTGTACTATGCATGCGTCAGTGCTCCGAGCCAACTATTAAGACAGAAACTTCTAGTGAAATACAGCCCCACTTTATAGAGCTGACTGAGAGTAATTTCTGCTTATGGTTAGGGGAAATGGCAGTATGAGATTTCTCAGTTAATAAGGTGCTGGTAGTTTTACGATGTTTCCTGATGGTGATCAAACATAATGAAAATACAGTATGCAGAGAACACAGAGTTTAAGTGCATTTAAAGCACACAAGTAAAGAATATTTAAAGAGTAATAGGATAAATAAACTCTTGAGGTCAATGGACGAACTTCTTACCCGCTGCTATAGGAGGATGTGTGGGTTTGTTTTCCCTCGGGGACCAACATCACCTCTCTATCAACCCTCACGCATATCCAACTGGATTTCTTGCTATTGTTTATGGTGTCACAATAGGATCTTATATAACTGAGAGGGTGAAAGAAGAAACAGCCTAAGCCATTTACAAGCGTGTCAAAACAATTTTATCTTTAGGTTTCTGGCACAAATACAACTGTTTGAAAATTTACTCACTTGCATTCCGACTAATGAGTCCTGACAGATGTTTAAGATGTAGTGCTGGAGGTTTTGGGAAAAACTGAACTCCTTCCAAAAATTTACATCTTTATCAGGAAACTCTGTCTTAGTCAATTGCTTTTGGATGTGAAGTCTATCGAGGTTTATGTAGTGTACAGGAATCACTGTTAAGATGGAACAATATAATAATCTATTGACCATAAAACTACAAGAGAGGCTGCAAGTGGCTCATCAGAACCCTTAAAACTAAATTATGTGGTTCTTTGTTTGAATGGTTCAATTATTAAGATGCTCTTTGCTGACATTTAATTAGCCTGACCTTTTGCTTCCCCTGCATCCCTTTCATTTGAGGATCGGTGCCAGGCTGCTGTTGAGAATAACAAGTCATTCCTTCCATTATAAAGCAAGTTTTGGCTGTAACACTCTCGTTAGCAAGTGACTTTTTATTGAAAACAAAGCTAAAGTCAAAGCCAAAAGGTGATTGTATGCACACATATTTAGATGCAGGGAAAATTTTGTTATAACAGTGTAGCCAGTAAGAAATGTTTCGATGTCTTTGAAGTGGTAATTTGCTTTATTGCTTTTATAACCCCCCCCCCCCGACTTTACTGTTTGAATCTATCATAGGGTGGTTTTCAGTTTGAAAGGCCTCTCTGCATCTTCCTGAACTCACAAATTCACATCAGTGGGGCAGCTACAAGAGGAAAAAGCTGTTTTGGCAAACCTGCCAGGAGCGTCTTATCAGATCAACCATGTGTACCCAAAGTAACCCAAAGTAAGTACAACTGGGGTGAAGAGCTAGCAAGCATTTGATTACCTTTCCACTCCACCAGGCTTTCAACAAAAATAAATAAATTGAATAAACAAATAAACCTTCAGGTTGCCGTTAATTTTGGTCAATGTAACAGAAGCATTATCCTGCTATCTTGTGTACACACGACCCTCAGTCCAGGAAAAAACAAACAAACAAAAAAAGTCTACGGATAACAACGCAGGGGCCAGTGTTAGTCAGGGTTGCTTTGTTTTACAGTTCTTCCTCACACAAAACAGACGGATTTTGAGAAATGTTGTATGAATAGAGATTAATTTACTAGTTTTAAGTATATATTTTTAAAAAAAAAAATCCCAACAGAGAACAGTGCAAACTAATTAAGCTAGAGCGAAACTGGCATCAGCTTCTCTTGGCTTACCAGAGCTGTATAGCCAATTCCTCACAACTTGCTCTGGTTTAGCTTCACCACTGTCATGTTGTGTTTTTGGAATATGATGATACTCGCCACCTAATTACTAATTAAAAATTGGTGAAAAAAAAAAAAACGTGAAAACTTATTTTAATCCAAATTATTATCTTTTATAAAAATAAAAAATAAAAAAAATAAGCAAGCTATACAAGAAAACATTTTATATTAATTGATTTATTTCTATATAAGGAACCCCATTAGTTTCCACAATAGTGGTTGCTAAACAAATTTTTATGAGTGTTTAATTTGGTTTAGATACAACAGGACAATGCTGTTTGTTTAATGGCTTTGGATCAGAAATTGATCTTTTGAATGTTGGAACTGGATTTAATCCATAAGATGTTTATAAAGTGCAAATATAATTTATAGGAATATGCTGCTGTTGCAGGTCAAGCAGGTCAAGCAAAAAGATTAGCTACATAACTTGACAAATGCTAGGCATTTATAGCGCGGTGTATCCTTTAGTTATAACAGACATCAGCACATCCAGTAAAATAAAAGAGGCTTGAGCTGTCGTTCTCTATATATTACATAGAGTTCAAATCTATAAGGACATAACTGGACTGGGTAGGGTGAGGGGGAAGGGAGGCTAGGTCAGCAAGAGACCAACAGCT